GAGGCTGGCCTTGTGCGGTGAGAGTGGCTCTTGGTTTGCACTTTTCACACTGTGCTCTCTCCTGGAAAATCCAGACAGCTGGAGCTATCACTGCTCCAACCCAGAGGGATTGCGTAGCCTCTGCAATTTCCGTCTTCCATCCTGCCCACCGCAAGGGTTAGTGTGTGCTCTTGATCAAGTCCTCTACTTGGTTTCCAGCTAAGGGACACCTTCTCAGAGGACAGCTGGGCGCTTGCTGTGGGCAGATTACATCTTCAACATTTTTAGAAGCTGAAAAACTGGGTCGTCCTGCCATAACTGAGCTGGGGATCTGGGAGACTGGCCTGGCAGCTTGTGCTGAGTATATTACATATGTGTCTTCTGGGTCAGAGTAAATTGGGCCCTTAAAGGAGAGCCAACTTTCTGGGTAATTAACCCAGTTTTGTCTTGAGAGGTATGACTGAAATTTATGGGGAGAGACATCCTGACACATTTTTTGTGAAAAGGGGCGGCTCAGAATAGACTTTGGTGATTCACCATACAGAGGTGAGAAGAGAGACTTATCCATGGAATCTCACAGTGAGAGTCCCTCAGAAGGTGGTGGGTGGCTATAGGACCTACTCCTTCACCCCCCACCTCCTTGCCTGAAATCAGAGAAAATAACCTTGATCTCAGACAACTTTCCAAGATTTGCCTAAAAAGCAAAATTAACTAAAAATTGACTGAATTGACCCAGTGCAGAGAGAAAATGGGTGAGATAGAAAAGAAGTGACTTCTTTTTATTTAATGTGATAAAAGTCAAATGATTGCTTTTTGCATATTATTATATGTACTTTCCGGGTTTATATTTAATACTTCATTCTCTTATCCAATCTAGTGCCTCAGAGTCTAAATGACATGCCTTAGCTGTTGTCCTGACACACAATCACGAATTCTCAATTTGCAAGCTGAGTTAGAGCCACAGCCTACATGCATGATGGCCTATAACATTTAAAAACAAAATTTAAAATGATGCCACTTTAAAGCTAGACTATTTCTATTGCTAGACTATAAAGATGAAGCTTCTGGAATGCTTTGAAAAATCAAAAATTAGCAACACTAAGAGTGGTGTTCTGGCATGGAAATAATTATCCTGAGCTCAAATGTCAGCTTCTTTGCTTCAAGGGGACAAACATTCCCCTATGGAACACAGTACCAACCATGTCCTATTGTCTACTTCACCTAGCCCACTTCACCTATGTAAATGACCTGTCTGATGTCTGTTGCTATTTGAGTTTGTGACCTCCCCTCAGCCAAAAACATGAAGTCCTTGGTAAAAAGGAAAAATAAAAAGGCACAGTCTAGAAAGAACTTGGAGCATCCCTTTGAGACTTACCTCTACCCTAAAACATAGATGTCCTACTATCCATACTGGATGCAAAATAAATGTTTGAGATTGTCTGATGTTTTTGGCCCAGTCTTCAAAAAGGACAAATGGAATGTTCCTGTACTTCCAAGGGCATGAGTCTGGGACTATGGCTTTCTTAGAGAAGGTTTAAACCCTTGAGCCCTGTTTGGCCTTGGCCAGTGAAATGGAAATAGGCAGCCACAGATATGTGTCATTGTCTTTCCCCTACCATTCTTAAAGTCTGAAGAGTTCTTTCAATTATCTTTTCTTCTTTAGCTCAAGATCTTTTTACCTCTTGGGTGTGTGCCTAAAGGGAAGGAGTAGGGCAAGATCCTTATTTCAGCTCTCAACTGCTGAATGACATAAGACTCTGATGAATTTTCCTATTTGGCTTTATTCAAAGTATTTCATTGCCTCCCTCTCAACTTTCTTTTGCTTAAACTTTGAATCTGAAATAACAAAATACTACAGTTGAGGTCTGATTATTGCCCTTTAAAGTTTTTTCTTTTTTATTCTTCTCTATGACCAGGCTTTACAAAAAGCTATTTTACTCTAAGAAATTAGGTTTCTGGTTATCAAGAGTCCTAAATAGACATGAATTACAAGAACGTCCTTTGAAAACCCCATGCAGCACTTGTTTCATTAAATTCCATGAAGCGACCTTAATTTAGTGGAACACTGGATGGGCTGTTCTTTTAACCTATTATCACTTTGGCCAGGCCCATAAACCATATTCATGGATGATTCCATCAAGAAAGACAACAGTGGGATTAATATTATTTCAGGATACAGTAAATGCCACAATGATGAAGCTGTTTAAGATCTGGTGCTCACGGTGTCACACTGAATGCATTGACATTTACTCTGCTATCACTTCATTTCCAATATTCCTTCCAAATCAGCCGATGCTAATACTTCAGCATGTGTGTGGAATATAATATGGGCGGGGGTGGGGAGACTGAGAAGGGATCGCACGAGTCCTCTGCCTTTCGTTTTCCTCTTGGTGTTGAGTGGGGAACTACACATGGAGAGTTTCTGACATGCAACGAACCCCACAGTGCCTATTGTTAGGATTGCAGAGGGTCCGAGGAAGTCAGCTTTCTCCTGTAGTTGGATCAACATAGGCCATGACACCCTTCTTGGCTGTGACTGTGCCTGTGACATGAGTTTGATGTGAACCAGGGAAGCACTGGTTGGAGTTTTTGGCCTGCATAGTGTTTTGGAATTGAGCATACATGAGAATTCAAATGTTTATAACATCACATCATTTGGAAACTCTTATTTGTGGTATAATCTCCTTGACCCTTAAACTTGATGCAACTGACAGCAGTATAAGCCTAATGATACTGAATATCTGAAAGCTCACAGGTAATTTTGAGGAGTCTGTTTTAAAGAAGCAGCAAAGATATTACTCAGAATAACTTTACTAATGTCTAGTTTCTCAAGGGATCCCTGTGCCTAATTTTGAAAGTGAGATTCTCAGCGTTGGAAGGAAATTTGAAAACTGTCTAGTTTCTGGTTCTCAAAGTTTAATGTATATACAAATCACTTAGAAGACTAGTTAATTCTAATAAACTAGAGTCTAGGAGATTCTAAACCAGTAATTCTGGATTAGGGCTGAGAAGCTGTATAGTGTCTAACGTCCAAGCCTTGTAGATGGGTACAGGATCTAGTCCAATCATCGCCTGTATCCTCTTATGATGAGCATTTAACACATGTTTAAACCTGTCTTGGTAGGAGGTACTCATATTCTCTTAAGGCAGTCTGTTCCATCTTTGAGTGATTCTGAATATTATATTGCACATTACATATTGCAGCCATTGTCCCACTCCTAAGGCCTGTCAGTCACCGGCCCTGGCTTTAGTCCTTGGTCCCATTCATACATATGGCAAGGCAAGGAAACATATCTCCTATTGAAAAGAGGGAAACTTGCTAGGTAGAGAGAGATAGCTGACTCAGGAGTAATTTTTGTCTCTTGGGGTTCACCATTCCTATTGACTTCACTGCCCTCTGTTGGCTCCTAAAATCTCATGCTGGTGCTTGGTTTGGCTCCCACACTTTGTGTCCTAATTATGTGACATTTTCCTGTCTTTTGAACTCTTCACACTGCATATATATATGTATATAATGTGTGTGTGTGCATCATAAAATCCAATTATTCCTCCCCCATTGTAAATCCATGAAGGCAGAGATTGTGTCTTATGCTTCTTCAAATTCTCTCCAGTGCTTTGCACGTACCAAGAGCTCAAACCAGGTGTATAATTCGGAGTAACACATAGAAACTGCTTCAGGGAATTTATAGCAGTAGCACAACAAAATGTGAAGACTATAGCATAGTAAATTGTTACACTAGCTGGCAGTACCACAGGTGGACTCAGAGAAAGGAGAAGTTCCATGCAGACAGGAGCAGTGCCAAAGGGCTTTGTGAGCAAGCGGGAGAGGAGACATAAAATTAAATTGTCTAGACATAACTCATATTTCTGTGAAGGGTTCTGAGGCTAGTTAGGAAAAGATACTAGTAGACAGTATAGGAGTTCATATGGGTCTTTCCAAGGAAGTTGGGTAAGGGAAGAGCTGTAACTTGGACGGATTCAAGGCAGAAGTCAACACAACTTTTCTAAAGTTCTGAATAGTAAATATTTTGGGATTTGTGGACAATGTCTCTGGTGTAACTATTCAACTTTGCCACTGCAGTGTAGAAGCAGCCATGAACCATACGTAAGTGAATTAGCATGGAGGTGTTCCACAAAACTCTGCAGACCTGAAAATCTCAATTTCATGTAATTTTCATGGGTCATGATATATTGTCCTTGTTTAGACACTTTCACTTTCACTTTTCAGACACTTTCAAACAAACTGTTTAAAAATGTAAAAATTATTCTCAGCCTGTGCTGTACTAGCACAGGCAGTGGGCTAGATCTGGCCTGAACTGTGGTTTGCTGATGCCTGGTTGATGGCCTGGGTGTCCAAGTTGGACACTTCACCAGTAAGGATTCTGGGGCTGTGTGACTGGAGACAGATACCACCCCTCAAGAAGGGAGTGGTCAGTAGCATTCAGGAGAGAGTGGTTGTTTGAGGAAAATGTGTGATGCTGAGTGAGATGTTATTTTACAGGAGTGGCTGGTTCTCCTGAAGCTATTTCCTTGTGAGAGTGAGGTTATCAAGTGAGGTTATTCTCTTCCTCTCTCCTGCCCCAGAGCTCCTCCTCCTATTCCTTCTCTTCCATGACATTTCTGATTCCACCTTTCCATGGTGTCATTTTTCTATTCTCGTCAAGTTTCCTATGGCATCTCAGGCTTTTAGAATTTTGTAAATAAATTTTGTTTTTCCTTACAAAAACATTCTTAGTATTTTGGACTATGATCACCATCCTTATCTGATGAATTTAAGCTTTCTATGTGTAATAAGGACATAAGAAATGAACCATCTGCCCGAAATATTTGGGAAAGCAAGTATCTTGGGGAGAAAAAGAGACAGATGTATGTCCAGGAATAGTACGACCAACCAGCTCTGATTGGGGTGAGCTTCTGTGTCAGGCAATAGAGGGGCTGTGTGACTTCTGAGCTAGGTCATAAGGTGATATGGCTTCTGACTGACTTTCTGTTAGGGAGTGGTCACCCTGGAAGTGTAGCTACCATGTGGAAACCCAGACCACCTGGAGAAACCATGCACAGGTGTTGTGGTTGACATCACCCAGCTACACGCTCAGCTTCAGCCAACATCAGCTGCCAGGAATGTGACAGAAGTAGGCTCCAGATGATTCCAGCCCCCAGTGTCTAAATCTTCCAACTGAGAACCCAGCCATCAAGGATCAGAAGGTTTGTCCCCCGTCTACTGTGAATTCCTGATCCGTGGAATGCATGAGTGTAATAAATGGTTATTTCATTCAGTGCTAAGTTGGGGGTAATTTCCATAGTAGTTGGGAAGGTTGTGTGGATAAATGATATGTATGACTGTGTATGTATAGGATCATTTAAACACACAAATAGAGCCCAAGACACTAGCACCTCCTGGGGGAGGAGACTCTTATCTACCTTTCCCCCTTCTTTTGTGCAGGCAGATAAGCCAATAAGCCAATTCACATTAAGGCATCAGTAACGGATGATTGGTTAAAGGGCGGAGTTTCAGGCAGGTTGGCAATTGACTCAGCCCGGCAATCGGTAGTGGGCTTGGGTTGAGGCTTCTGGGAACCCTATGTCAAATCCATCTCTCCAGATGTGGGACAGGGACTGTAGGCTGCTCCATGCTGGCCTTCTTTGATGTTTGTCTTTATTTCTTCTTGCAGTTGTCTACAACTCTCAAGAAGGGACTGAGGGTCTCCTGCAGGGTCCCAGTGCGGCAGAAGCCACCAGGCGATACTAATGGCAGGAAGCCAGTGAAGAGAACAAGGAAAGGACCCTCCCTCGCAAATAGTGTGAGACCCCAGAAGGAGGGAACTTAGGAAATGACATGCTCCTCCTATTCGGAATCCTGGGCCACATGGATGTGGGGGTGAATGTCACCTCTGAGGTGGACTCAGGCTCCGCTGGTGCTCTTGCACCCACCCCCATGACCCCTTTCCCCTGGGGCTGCAACAGAAGATATCTCTTCAATTCCTGTCCCCTTTGTTCCTGTTCTGGAGTCAGGTAAGCCCCGGACAGTTCCTGAATTGGAGGTGTCTCTGCCTTTTATAAGTGAAACTTGATTCTCATGAAAGATGAGAAGAACAAGAACAGTATTATAATCACCACTTTTCCCTCTGCCTCCCCTTTCCATCCTCTCTCCCCATCCTTTCTCCTGCACTATTCTCCTCTCCTCCTTTACACTTTCCTTTCTTTTCACTCTCCTCCCATTCTCTTCTTGCCCTTATCTCACTTGGTCACTTCTTCCTTCCTTCCTTTCTGTCTTTTTGTTGTTGTTATTACTGAGCTATTCAGCATGTGGAATCTTAGTTCCCTGACCAGGAATTGAACCATGCTCCCTTGCATTGGGAGCACCAGGCAAGTCCCTACTCCTTTCTGTCTTGATTCTCTTTTCAAAGCCATTTATTTTAATTTTGGCACAAATGGTGGTAAACTGATGCTGGGGGACACTGGTTGCAGTTTGTGGTAATAGGATCATATTTTCACAGTGGCTGAGATGACTCTGGAGGGGAAAGTAGAAAGTCTGTTTTTTGTTGTTTTTGTTGGAGAGGGTGGGGATAGAGGGGAGGGGAGGAAGATGTGGAATCAGAACAGAGGAGGGGAACTTCCTAGCATCATTAAAGAAATAGCCTGGGAGTAGGAGTCCCAGCCTTCTGGGTCTTTCTTCATTGGATATAAGAATTCTCTGGTGAGTGAGCTGGAAAGGTCTTGCTGAAGCTAGACACAGCATAGTTCACGGGCACTACCACGGCCTTGCCATAAGTGTTTCTCTGGGGCATCCTCTGGGAAACTCAGCCACATGGATTGCTGTTGAGCTTTCAAGTCACCTGCTCAGGGCAGGTCTGTGAAAAGCACAGAAGCCCAGGCTTTAAAAATCTTTCTGATTATTTTTCACTTCCGGGTGCTTGATGGAGCAAAGTAGGAATTCTGGCTCCTTAACCTCTCTGGAGTTACAGACTAAAAGCTATTTGCTGTGGGATGGCTACTCAGAGCCAGCTCAGTCACAACACAACTGAGCTGGCTGCTTGAATAGAACGATAATTGAGGTCTATTTTCAGCTCTGCTCTTCAGCTTGTTCTAAGCCACGAGGTCGATGGGTTTAGATTCTGGCTTCTCAGCATCAGCCTGCTTTGGAGCAGGCGAAGGTGGTTCTGGATACAAGTATAGAATAAGCCACCCTCACCCGCTTCCCGTTCCGCTGGTTAATGAATGGATTTGGCTATTTGCAGTTGGAACTGGGTCCTCTCCCCTCCACTCTGTCTTGAGCCCCCTTCCCAAGCTGGGCTCATCTTCTTCTGTTGCCCTCTGTAACGGAGCAGGTCAGAGCTGGACCAACACATAGTCAGGAGCTGGGTGGTGTCACTCACCTCCTAGCACTGAATGTCACCTCCCACGCCTACCATGGGTCCTCTGAGGAATGATGCTCTGTGCAGCGGGCCAGTTGTAAACAGGGCTCTAGGTGCGGGGAGAGTGACGGTGATGGGCTAGGCATTTTCAGGCTTGCTTTGTATCTGTTTTATCTTTTTAAGACTATGAGCCTTTGGAATTTTTTATAGCATTAATGATTTGGCTGAGTGCCTTCCTTTGGTGGACTGAACTGGTGAGGGACCAGCATCTGACTGAAACTGATGAAAGGCCAGAAATTCAGAATCACCTCCTGATCCTTTTGGCTTCAGTTTAGGGTTCTTTAAGGTCAGCTGACAGAGTGGTGCTAGGCCAAGAAACAGGCTTGATTTTTGAGCTGAGGGCACAGTACTCAGGGGTGCGGACTGGGGGAGGGCCCAGATGCTGACACCTCTTTCTCACGAGGTAGCAAGGGCAGGGATGTGGGTCTTGGGTGGAAGCAGTGAGGTTTTGCATGAATCCTTTTCTGATTGGCTCTTAGGTCTTTTCTCCTGGGGACACCTGTGGTCTTTGCTTTCTTTCTGACAAGATCCCTGACCAGGGAGCCACAGGCCTTGCCCCTGGCTGGCAGTGCAGCCGGATGTAAACAAGCAGAGGGCAGTGCTTGGTGTCAAACATTATGTTTACTAAACAAAACCGACAAGTTCTCATTGTTCCGTGAGGAAGCCCTGCAACTCTCAATCCTCCGGAGCTGAAAAGGATCCATTTTATTGAGCTCTGTAATGACAGCCTCGGCTGGAACAGCTGGGTAGTTTGTATTAACTCTAAGAGACTCAGGAGGACAGTTTTTCTTTAGAAAAATTATGTTTTTCATTTAGACCAACACCAGCTTGTCTCAGCACACCTTCCTGTAATTGTACAAAGAGTGGTACAGTCATAGTCCAGGTTGTTCCGCCAATACTTCGGGTGGCCAGAGTTAGCAAATAAGAATAGGGGACATCTAGATAAATTCAAATTTCAGATACTTTTCTAGTGCAAGTATGTCCTATGTAATCTTTGGGACAGACTGTTACTAAAAACATATGGGTAATTTTGTTTAAATTTAGATTCAAATGGGGCAGTCTGGATTTTACCTGGCAATACTTGATACTTTACTAAACATCCATGTTTGCATACCTTTGGTGCCGAGAAACTCACTACCTTTCAAAACAATCATTAGACAATTACTAGAAAGTTCTTCTGAACATTAAGATGACAGTCTCATACACCTGCTCTTCATGTGAATTTCTGGAGCCCCTTGGAATATGCCTAACTCATCTGTCATGTGATAACCCTCCAAATGTCTATGGATAGCTCTGTGTTGCCTTGAAATTGCTACTCTCCAGCCTGAACATCTCTAGCTCTTTCAACTTTTCCTCAAGTGATGTGGTTTCAGATCTGCTGGTGAATGTGCTCTGGCTTATTGAGAGCCATTGTGATCAGGTGGGATCTGAAGGCCTGAATAATGACTCCAACTGACATGGCTTTGTGCCTGTTGTCATGAGTCTATGTCTCTGGTGCCAGGGAAGTTCTGGCCTGAGCCAGACTTTGGCACAGATCCTTTCCTGAAACAGTGCTGCTAGCTTTCAGAGTGGAACTTAGGAGCCGCTGGAGAACTGAACACTCCTTACTATAGGATGAAGATTTGTCCCCTCAGAGGCTAAATGCTGAAATGTAATCCCCAGGGTGGTGGTATTTGAAGGTGATCCTTTGAGAGGTGATTAGGTCATGAAGGTGGAGCCCTCATGAATGGGATTAGTGACCTTATAAGAGACCCCGGAGAACTCCCTTGGGCTTCAGGTGGCTCAGTGGTGAAGAATCTACCCGCTAATGCAGGAGACCTGAGTTTGATCCCTGGGTGGAGCGGATCCCCTGGAGGAGGAAATGGCAACCCAGTCTAGTATTCTTGCCTGTAAAAGCCCATGGACAGAGGAGCCTGGTGGGCTGCAGTCCATAGTGTGGCAAATAGCTGGATATGACTGAGCAACTGAGCATGCATGCAGAAAACTCCCTTGCCTTTTCCACCTTGTGAGGACACAGGGAGAAGATGTCCATCTGTGAGCCTGAAGCAAGCTCTTATCAGACATCAGATCTGCTAGTGCTTTGATCTTGGACTTCCCAGCCTCCAGAACTGTGAGAGAGAAAATTCTGTTGTTTATAAGTTACCCAGTCTGTGGTATTTTTGTTACAGGAGCCCAAATAGACCAAAATACACCAAACTGACAGCCCTATTCTCATTTTAGGTGGTAGTTGGTAGTTAGGACATAAGCATAACCAAAAGTCATGCTAGATATTGATGAAACATACCTACTAACAAGAATACATATTTTTATTTCAGGTCATATTGGAGCTGTGAATAAAAACATCAAGCTTGTCTCAGAGATTTGCTACACCGATGGGTTGGAACCTTGGGAGAGTCACTTACATCTCTGGCTTTCAGCATCATCATCTGAAAAACAAATTAATTTTCGAGTTTATTAATTGAGTTAATTCTCGAGTTTATGAAGTACATCTTCCAAAGGCTGTAGTCATGGCTATGGGCATGTGAATCTGACTGGAATAAGATAGATTTGAAAAAAAAAAAGACAAATAGTATTAATAGCTCTAGATCTAAATAACTCTTTGGTTCTTAGCTTTCCTTGGACAGGAAATGGTTAGAAAATTAAGTGCGGTTTACCCGTTGGTGCATGCCTTTGAAATCTTTATGTCTGGTCCATGTCAAAGCAATACAGACAATGGGACAGTTTTTAGAAACTTTAAACCCACTTGACATTGTTGTGACATACAACCATATGATCAGTGGGTTGTTTCCTTGAATAAGGTATGGACCAGACTGGGTGCTATTGAACTTGTGGGTGGTGAGTGGCATATGACATGAGGTACGTGTCAGTCACTTGAAGTAGAAACTTGTCTTGGTCTATAATTGTTTAGGAAAAACAGGGGAAAAAAGTGGGTTTAATACTCAGACTGAGGCAGAGCTTCCTTACTGGCATGTCATTCTTGAATTACAGGTGTGCCTAGGTGTTGTGCCCTTGACTGTTGGGGCAGCTGGGAGAGGCCTGGGCCAGTTTGGGACCAGTCAGTCTAGTTGCTTCTTGCCATGAGTAATTAATGTGCTCTATAAATATTACCATTTCTACATGTGCTACAAGTGAATAAGGGAGAAGTGAATAAAGCTGGAAATGTTACCTTTTCTCCAAAAGAGCAAATAGACAAAGGGAGGAGACTGGGATCATTGTTTCTTCAACCACAGCCTCCAAGTGAACTGGCCTAAGCTAGAGAATCAAACTGGAGCTGTGCTCCCAGGCAAAAATTTTACAACTTTTCTTCTCCTCATATCTGTTAATACCTTTCTTTTATAATTAAACCGAAGACTTCCCTGGTGGTCCAGTGGTTAAAAGTCTGCCTGCCAATGCAAGGGGCACATGTTTGATCCCTTGTCCTGGAAGATTCCATATGTGGTGGAGCAACTAAATTCGTGCACCACAGCTACTGAAGCCTGTGCATCCTAGAGCCTGCGCTCCACAACAAGAGAAACCACCACAATGAGAAGCCTGTGTGCTGCAACTAGAGAAAGCCTGTATGCAGCAACGAAGACCCAGTGCAGCCAAAAATAAATAAATAAATTTAGAAGGAGTTCCTTGGTGACCTAGTGGTTAGGCCTTCACTGCTGTGGTTCGGGTTCAGTCTCTGGTTGGGAAACTGATATCCTGCAAGCCATGTGGCACAACCAAAAAAAAAAAAAGAAAAGTAAATTAAGATTTATCATAGAAATATGTGCATGTCTCTTAAAAGTAAGCAGTACAAAAGTAGAAAACATGAGTCATCTCTACCTCCCTCCCCAAGTCCTGTTCAGGTTCCCCAGAGGTAATTGCTTTCAAACTGGAGCTTCAGTATTTATGGAAAGAGGATCCCACAGGGAAATGCCCGATTTCCCCAAGGAACTCCAGTGGGCACGGTGCTGGAGGTACTAGCACCGTCATGCACCACTGGGAAGGTTGAAAGTCTGAACACATAGCAGTTGGACCAGGGGCCTCCCCAAGGCCACCTCACCCATCCATCACAGTCAGGCAACTCCTCCTTGCCATGGTTCTTCTCACACCACCCTTTCTTCCACTGCCTCTCTGCAGAAGTCCAGAGGTTTAATCTCTGGCAAAAAGGAATCCAAAGGGTTTTGGACTCTGGGATTCTGGGTGCAGCAGAGAGGAGAGGTGTGTGTGTGTGTGTGTGTGTATATATATATATATACATATATACATATATATATATATATTTATGTCATGTCTGACATATTACTCAGACATGAAAAAGAATGAAATGCTGTCATTTGTGACAATATGAACGGATCTTGAGGCATTCTTCTAAGTGAAATCTGTCAGAGAAAGAAGGATGAATATTGTATGATCTCTTATACCTGGAATATAAAAAAGTTGAACTCATAGAAACAGAAAGTCTAATGGAAGTAGGGGAAATGGAGACGTATTGGTTAAAGGGTGCAAACTTCCATTACAAGAAGAATAAGTTCTGAGGATCTAATGCACAGCATGGCAACTATAGGTAACAATACTGTATTGTGTGTGTGCTTGAAGGTTGCTGGTAGAATACATCTCAAATATTCTCAATGCACATACACATGTGCACACACATATAGGAAATTAGGTGATGTGATAGATGTGTTAACTAACCTTATTATGGTAATCATTTTGCAGTATACCTGTAGCAAATCATGACACTATACTTTTTTAAAAATTTATTTTTATTTATATATTTATTTTGGCTGTGTTGGGTGTTTGCTGTGGGCTTTTCTCCAGTTGTGGTGAGCAGGGTCTCACTGCTCACCAGTGGTGAACCACTGGTGAACCACTCTCTAGTGGTTCAAGGTCTTCTCATTGTGGTGAGCTCTCTTGTTGCAGAGCATGGGCTGTAGGGCATGCAGGCTTCAGTAGTTGTTGCATACAGGCTTAGTTGTCCTGTGGCATATGGTATCTTCTCAGACTAGGGGCCAAACCATGTCCCCTGATTATACTCCAGTGACCTCCGGCTGTCAGCAAGCTCTGCCCTCCTACACAGCACTTCCGATAGGCTTTCAAGTGCCCCACACCTAAATAGCCAAGGATCACGAACTCTTAGTGAGTTTTTCAACTTGAAGGATAAATGCTGGAGTAGACTGATTTCATTAATTGTCCCAATTAATGCCCTCTCTGTCTTCATGTCTTTTGCCCTGGGATTTCTGCTATGAGCCTGCTAGAGAAATGTGAGAGGCACGTGTGGCAGAGTCAAGACCACCCAATCCAGGCCATCCTAGCCCAGCCAGATCATGGTAGTCCTGCTGGAGGAACACTGGTGCGTAAATGTGCCCAGCCAAGATCAGCCAAGTCTGACTCAGCTGACTTATGGACCAAGACCGCCCTTTCTGAGGAAAGCAAAATGCTATGACATCAAATCTCTAATTTGTTAGTGTGGATGGATAGATCCCCTGCCTTCTCCTTCTGCACCATCCAGCACCATTCCTCTACTGCTTGAGGTCTAAGAACACTCCCTCACGCCCCTCTGTAGGTGTGATGCTCTGGGTCCCATCTAAACGAGAAGAAGAGGCCATGGACAGAAGTCAGGAAAAGCAGATGCCAGACAGGACTTGCTGGACACAGTTTTATCCTCTGGCTGCTTGAGGATGATCTCATCTGGCCTATGGCTCCTTGGTATTTCTGTCCTTGGGTTGGTGAGAATGCCAAGTGAAATTAGATCTTGAATTCAAGTCTTAGCCTAGGGAAACTCTTGGGTTTGTCTGTAAGCTGGAGGCAGAGGAAATTGTGAAGTGGGTAAAAAATGATTTACCACACCAGCCCCAGGCTATTCCTTTCCATGGCCCTTAATCTCTCCTTCTCTCCTGACCTCTTTTCTATCCATTTTCCCTTCCTTCCTTCCCTACATTCAAAGTACATACAGCTCTCACTTTCCACCAGTCTCATTTTAAGAAAGAATCTACTGAAACTCAGGAAACATTTAAATGTTACCTTTCTCAATTTGTCTCACAATTCAATCTTGTTTCTAACTGGGATGTGAGTCTTTTCACTGTTTAGAAAAAAAATATCTCTAGAAGTTGGAAAGCCTTTTGAGGAGGATGGGGTTTTTCATTGAAGTGCTAACCTGTGGCTAGATTGCCGTGGTTGAAGCCCCATGTTGGCACTTTTCTTTTGCCAGAAACATTCTAAAAATGGTCATGAGTTCACTGGGGACCAGAGAGAAGGTAAATAAGAAAATTTCCTTGCAAAAGTACAATGTGTTTTGTAATTTGGACTCTTTCTCTGCTGATATTCAAACAGCACTCAGAGCCACGCACCATTACCTGAGTAACCATCCTTGAGTTGGCATTTTAGGATCAAACAGGATTCAGAGGAATAATTTCATTCTTTCTTGGGCCTTTGCCAGCTTTCTGAGAGATGTCTTCCTCTTTTTGATACTAGAGTAGGACTTACAGTCTCCTGGGATGATGAACTCTAATAAATCAGTAGTCACTGCTCTGGGCTTTACCGATGAAGCAAAGGGACAGTTGAGGTAATTGTCTGAGTAATTTGGGCAAAACAACCAACTATCCTCAATGGACAACAAAAGTTGGAGTGACTGAAATAGAACAATGCACCAGAACTACTCAGTCCTACTATTTCTTTTAGGGGATACTCAAATGTCCCTGTTCGCTGCCCTGGGAACGGGGCACAGAGGAACTCCATGAATGTAATAACAATAGCTGATATTTATTGGGCTGGTGTGTGTTCTAGGCACTGTATTAAGCATTTAAAATAGATCTCATTTAGCTGTTGTCATAATTGGCCTATTACCACCCCCACTCAGCAGCTGTTGGACAGGAAGCCAACAGAGCTTAAAGGGACTTGGGTGAGGCTCACAGCTGGTAAGTCGCAGAACTGAATCAGCCTGTCTGACTCCTAATCCTTGCCAACTTGAAGCCTCCTGGTGGGGTGATGCTCTGAGGATACTGACTGCAGAAAAGCTGTGATCGGAACAAGGGAACTTTGTTCCTTAGCGGAAGAGATGAACTGTGCAAAAATCACTATCTAGCTGGATGATATAAGGCAAGAAATGCCCCCTTCTTGGCCTGAGATTCCTCAGGGGTAAATGCAAGGGTTGACGGGATAATTTGTAAGTCCATCTCAGGTCTCACTTATGTTTTTTAGAGTGATCTGTGTCTGTGATCCCCAGTGTTCATTTCCTGAGCTCTGATTGCAGCTCAGCCTAGTACTATTTGAGTCCAGCTGTTCTGGCAAGGAGGGATGAATGAATGGTCAGCGTAGGCTGTTTTCTTGTAACAAATAGCCTTCAAATCTCAGTGCCCTCAACGACCCAGCATTTGTTATATCTCATGTACATCTGTGTCCACTTCAGGTGTCTGGGGACACAGTGGTCCTCCAGAGTCAAGACTGATGAAGCAACTACCATCTCTAACATTGTGGGTTACTCTGCCTGTGGAAAAGAAAGCTCTGGAAGGTATTACACTAG